ACACAAGTGTAATTGTTGGTTCATTATTCAACAACCAACTACATAGTGGATTTTGAGGACGTAGAAGGATTACCCCACCTTCGAACCTCGTTAAAGTTTGCGTGTCTCTCTCTCTTATCTTTATTCTTACTTGCAATTATATCAACTGTGAAAACTAACCTATCCATATTGATTACTGCTCACTCCACCCACCAAATTCTGCACACAATCTAAAGTTCACAAGGACTCTAGATTAACACTCATTTTCACGTTTTCAAAAGAAACGAAAGAGATTTTAAATCTGTAACAAAGTCTATTCACCCCCCTCCTCTAGACTTTGTATTTCACCACTTTGGGACCACCAATTGGTATCGGAGCCGTCTTCTCACTATCTACGTTTAGATTAACGAGAAGCGATCAAAATGGTGAACAATATGGATCACGGTTTGCCCAAGTTTTCTCTTCTAGGTTATGATGATTGGAAGATCATGATGGAAGCACACCTCTACGCTCTACATGATTGCTTGTGGATGGTGCTTGAGGATGGACCCTTGAAAATTCAAATGGAGAATCCTGAGAGGAATCCAGCAACTCCAGACGTAGTCCAGTACATTCTAAAGCCCAAGGAAAAATGGGATGATAGAGATTGCAAAAAGCACAATCTGGATAACGTTGCCAAAGCAGCCATCTTCAAGACACTTGACCCCATCACCTTCTCCAAAATTAAGCACCTCAAGACTGCCATGGAGATATGGCAAGGTCTTGGGAAGCTATGTGAGGGTTCAGAGGACTTGAGAAAGCAGAAGATAGAAGTCCTGCTTGAGAAGTTCAAAAGCTTCAAAATGCTTCCCGGAGAATAATTTGATATGCTGGATGAAAGATTCCACAAAATCTTGAATGATCTTGCATCACTTAACCACGTTCTTTCTCCCAAAGAAAAGAATGTAAGGTTGCTGAGATCTCTTCCAAATGAGTGGTACACCAAAGCCACAACCATGGAAGAAGGAAGAAATCTGGAGAACTACACTGTCCAAGGTCTTCTTGATGAGCTCAGAACCTATGAGCACGAGCTGAAGAAGAAGAAGGAAGAACAAGTCACTCCCTTCCCCACGGCACTGATGACAACTCCAAGAGTCCCATCAAGTGAAGGGACATGCCCAAGGAACTGTGACACACCCTCCTCCAGTCAGCCGTCAAGTTCAAAAATGGAGAACTACAATGAGGAATTTGCCATGATGGTCAAGCAATTCCGGAAGTTCAAAAAGTTCTTCAAGAAAGCTGACTCAGTCAGAAGGCCATCCAAGGGAAAGCCACAGGTAAGTGACTCTCCTCCTGAATCTTATTTGTGTTACAATTGCAGGAAGCCTGGCCACTGGAAGTCAGCGTGCCCGTACCCAAAAGTGGAGAAGTACGGAGAAAGAGAAAGGATCGAGAAG